TTTATTATTTTTATTTATTTTTAAAATAAAACAAAAAAATTTGGCTTAATAAATTAAGATAATATAAAATGCGATAAAAGAAAATAAAATTAATTTAAGTAAAAAAAGTAAATAATGTAAAATGCATTACAGCTAATTTAGATTAAATGAATTAAAACAAAACGAAATAAAATAACATAAAAACATAAAATAAAATAAAATGAAATGAAGTACGTAAAATGAATAAAATAAGTAAAGGGAAAATTAATAAAATAATTTTTTTCTAATAGTAAAATCTTTAAAGTTGATTTTAAATATCAATATCATTTTTGGTGCCTCAGTCCTATTTCCTGCTGAATTACTAGGGAGTAATCAAATTTACCAAGACTTTCAAAGTTAATTTCTTTCGATAATTCTCGAGCTTGATGTCTAGTTAAGCTAGGATTACTTATTGATTTAAATTATTCAGGAAAAGAACTGCGAAGTAGATGTTTGAATACGAGCGATGAGTGAGCCGTCCGATTTATGACATGACACTCGGTTGTTTTCCAACAAATGGAAGGACCTGCACTTTATTCTAAGCCACTCCCAAAAAGCTGATGAGTTTATAAGATAATATTTTTTTATTATTAATTTCAGAAACACACTTGAACGACTGAGTTAAAAAAGAAAAGAAAAGAAATTTCGGATGTTGGTATAGCATAGATGAAAGTGGGACGTACTATTACACTCTTCCCTGTCGATAGGTTTCCTTCCGTTGGATGAAATTAGTTGCAGATTAGTACCAAAAACGGTATACATACTTGGTAAATATTTTCCATATGTTAGGGGAAATGAAAAGTTACTCGTTAGACGACGTACAATTACCGTAAATCATAGTTAAGTTGATTTAAGTAGTAGCAATATGGGGAAAACAATTTCGAACACTAAATTAAATTAGTAATATGCTTGAAAAATTTTAGCCATATACGAGTATATGGAGAAATAAAAAAAAAAATAGAACTTTCGAATCTTCAGGGTATTATAAGCAGGAAACCATCTAGAGCAAAACTTTTTTCGAACAACACTCGACGTAGTACAGTGTGATTATTCTACTGTTGATTATCCTACCAGAAAGTCTACCAAATCAGACCTCTCTGTGTCACGGTGCAGTAGTTCGATGTGCAAATATTTATAAGAGTATCCCGTGGCGTTAGTGCCTCGAACCACTGTAGCTTTCATTGCAATTAAATCCAATAAAGAACATTATCGACCGGCCAACCAACCGACTGGCCAACCATTGCTCCTTAGCTACTGCCGCTGCCGGTGCCTATAGTGCTTAACAATTGTGCCTAAAACTTTGATTCTTAACATTTACGACGCTCGTATTTTCTGCACTTATACACATCTTTTCAAGGTTCATCGGGTTATTTATTATTAATTCACGTACATAAGAATGTTTTTATGTATAAACTTCAAGTGAGGCAAAGTTATGGGCTCTTCGGTTATACAATGTTGCTGCAACAAACAACTGATGGCCGGATAGCAGGGCTATGTGTGTTCATACTTTCTTACTTATGTTAGTAAACTTGTCTATATGCATACATGTATTTATGTACATACATACATACGTATGTCTGTGAAAACATACAAAAAGTAACCGAAATTTCTGCCTGCGTGTATGTAAGCCATAATATACAATACAAGTACAAGCTCATATGTGCTCTTAACCCAGTTAATCCAGTCAACATCAGTCATTGCATACATATATACACACGTTTTACCGTTATATTGACGAGCACAGGCGTCTTACACATTACACATTGCATACTTAAATAATTCTTCATAAACCGGTAAGCATATTATAGGTATTCATGCTAGAAAATAAATTAGTATATACATATGAATGTATGTAAATACATACTCGTATGTATGTATGATAGGGTGTAGTATATTTGTTCTAAATATGACAAAAAGAAAAAAATTCTTACTGCATTTTTTTTATTTTTTTTCTGTAGTTTATGACTTTGATGATCGATCTTAGTTTCGCAGGTGCCAGCTTATCTACATATGCATGTGTACATGTACGAGTATGTATGTTTGCAGCTCTGCTTTTCACACTATAACTTGTATAATTTTTTACACATTTACATTCATGGAATATTCCTTTCGTTATTACTTTTGCTTTGTTTTCGTTAATTTTGTAGGTAAATAGGTTGCTGACGAGGTTTTATGGTATTTTTGGGTTTTCTATTTTATTTTCCTTAATTTTTTTTTTTATTTATTTTTATATTTATTTTTGCTCCTCGCATGAATTTGAATTGGGATCACTATGGCAGTTAATGCTTTTTCGCTTTTTCTTCATCTTTCTGAAGGTCGCATGTGTCTAGCTACTCAAGTGTAGTATTGAGCTTTTGTGTGGGTTCGAACGTGATGTGTTTTTCTGAGAAGATTCACTTGCGTGGCGACGCGTTACGCCCTGTTGCTGGTTCGCCGTTACCTTCGGTGTGTATGGATGCGAGCGACTGGAAGGTTTTTCATTTCCTTTCCTTTTTATTTTTGGGTGCTAATGTTAATTCATGAATGCTAAGCACTGTTATGGGAACGTGCATCCTCATACCTATACATATTGTATATACAAATATATTATATATGTAGATATGTATACAAAAGTAAGTATTCATAATGACATATTTTACATGTGTGTAAGTATTTTGAGGTATTTATGTAAATTTAAATGCCACTCACTCGGCACTCTAAATTTATTCTTCAGTTGTTCTTTGCTAGTAAAATTCTTGAAGCCATATTTTATTTTGCTGTGAATATTATTGTTTGTATTTCTTAGATTAATGCAAATATTTGCAGGTTTTAATGTGGAATTCGAAATAATTTTGTGGCGCATAAATAGAAAAATTTCAACAAGCATTTTTCTCTGTTTCATAAAGAATTAGTTTTTTATTAATTAAAGGTCAAAATAAAACAGACTAAAAAATAAATTAAAATAAAAAATAAATTTAAACAAAAAATAAACTAAACAATAAAATGAAATATAAAATAAATTAAGACATAAAAAAAATTAAAAAATTAATTAAAATTAAATTATAAATGGACAAAAAGAAATATAATTAAAAAAAAAATTATAAAATAAACTAAAAAATAAATTATGATATAAATTAAAACAAATAAAATAATATATGAGATAAAATAGAACAAAATGGAATGACATAGAGGAAGCAATAAAAGTAAATGATGAAATTAAATTAAATAAAAAATAATATTTTTAAATAAAATAAAATTAAAAAAAAAAGAGTAATTAAAATTAATTAAAGTAAATTAAAATTAATTACACTAATTTAAACCAAATAAAATTAAGATAAAATAGAGCAAAATTAAATAAAAAAGAGGAATGTAATAATATTCAATGATGAAATTAAATTAAATAAAAAATAATAACTTTGAAAAAAAAAAAATTAAAAATAAAATAAATGAAATTATATTAAAATTAAAAATTAAATAAAATGAAATAAGCAAATTAAGTGAGTTAAAAATTACAATAAAAGAATAAAATAATTAAATATTGATTAAAACAAAAAAAAAAATAAAAGAATGGAAAATAATAAATTTAAGCAATATGAAAGAATAAATTAAAACAAAATAGAATAATAAATTTAAATAGTTAAAATAAAATAAAACAAATTAGAATAAATAAGCAATAAGATGCGAAAATTTACAAAAAATAAATAAATTAGTATTTAACTAAATTTAGCTAAAATCAATTAATATTTTCCGACATCAAAATAATTTACTCCTGACCAAAAAAGCTTTAAAAATTTAAAAATCATAATTGTTTTAGTTTTCTAAGTACAGATTGTTGTCTGTAGACAGCATTGGTCGAAAGTGACAACTTTAGAAACATGAATTATTTTTTCAAAGCATTGTTTATTGAATTTTAGGTATATTAAGATGCAAAACCGTTTTTCGGAAAATGGTGAAAGACGTTTCTTAAAACTAAAACATTTTTCGGCATTCGAGCAGCACCTAATCGGATAGCAATAAGGAAATTAGTGGAAAAAATGGTGCTGTTGGGAACTGGGCATTTCAAAAACGTCATTACATTGCCGAATTTTGCATAAAGACTTGGGTCTAAAGGCTTGTGAAGTTTATGTAAACATAAGAACTCAAGCCTGTCGATCGTTAACAACATCGTATCTTTCTTGATTTTGTCCTTGAAATGCTTGAAAATGCTACGGAATTTCATCGAGAAACAATTTAGACTCATGAGGCCCATTTCCACTTCGATGGCTAAGCCAACAGGCAAAACTGTCGCATTTGGGGCTTGAAAGTCCCAAGATTTATTGTTGAAAAGTCTCTTCATCCTCAACGTGTAACAGTTTGGTTCTTATGATCCGGCGGGGTCATTGGACCTTAATTTCTCGAATGGATTGTGTTATCGAGAGATGATTAATTATTTTTTATGACCGAAGATGAATGGTATTGATATAGACAACGTTTAGTTTCAACAGGACGACGCTACGTGCCTCACAAGCAAAGAAACCATCAATCTATTAAGGGAAGCGTTTCTGGATCGTGTCACCTCTCGAATAGATGATCATAATTTGCCGCCGGTATCTTGTAGTTTAACCGCTTACGACTTCTTCCTTTGGGATCGAGTTAAAGATAAGTTCTACGCCAACGTCGATTGGTGATATAAAAGTTCATAAAAAGGATAAGATCCTGCAAGTGTAGCCGTGGCGGCTGATGTTGTTTTCCGTTATTATTGGCATATCTTTCTGTTTACATTGACATAAACATTTCATCATTTATTTCAAAAATTGCTATTATAATCTTATTGAAAAAACCAGAAGATGAAGTTAAAATACAAGATTGTATCGCCTTAACAGGGATATTATTGTACTTTTAGAAGATCCCTTCTGTCCGGAGAGCTAGTTCAAGCTGACCCCATCATTACTATTTACACAGATTACAAAACGACCGTTACAAAATCGTATACTTGTTAAAAGAATTACACATATTGAGCTTACCTAAATTGGCATAAACATTGTCCGACTTGCATTTGATAGAACCACCTGCTTCGCACGCACCTAATGCCGTGCCGCCTGCCTTACGGCTGACTGGTGAGTCTGTCACCGACATGGACACCGCATTCATACCGATAATTGCCTGCTTCCGACGTAACTCGGCGCTCTTTGGTGGCGGCGGACGTGCCGGCTTGTTAAGTTCGTGTGTACGTTGTGCATCCATGTTGCGCAATGGTGGTGCCGGTGGTTTGGCCGTCACTACGGCCACTGTTTGCGCAGTGACTGCATCGCTTGTCTTCGTTATGTCTTTGACCACTTCCACAGCTGTCGGATTAATGTCGATCGGATGAATGATCACCAAACGTGGCTTACCCACAACACCCGTCTCCTCGCCTGTACAAATCTCGGAATAGATACCGTCTTTCTTGTGCAGATTGTCCGTCGTTTTGCTGGCACCCATGCGCAAGAATTTCTTAATCGAAAATTTCGTTTTTGTTTTTTGCGGCGGCGTTGGTTGTTGTTGTTGCTGCTGTTGTTGCGAAGCCAATTTTTTATCACCTGTGGACGGCAATGTTGGCAGATTCACTGTCGTATTGGTCTGTGTGACATCGGGCAGACATTCCTCGGATAGTGAGAGGTTTTTATGATGCTTCGGCATCGGCTCTGGTGTGAGCGATTGCTTGAGGCTAAGCGAAGATGTCGCCGACTGCAGTTGCATATTCTTTAGCGCATTGCTGCGTTGCGTCACGAACGTATTGAGGCTGCGGAACTTGGGATTGACAGTGGCGCGCTCGCGCTTGTCCTTCTCACGTATGACCGGCGATGAGGAGTTTTTCGTGTTGTTCGTATGATTGTTTAGTGTCGTGTTTGCTGCTGTTGTAGGCGCAGTCTTGCGCGTATAAATGCTTGGTGTCACATTGGCGACTGCGGCGACGGCGGCATTGGCAGCTGCTGTTGTGGCTGCTATGGCTGTGGCTGTTTGTTCGCTGATTGATTGACAAGATGTGCCGCCATTAGGCTTGTCCGCGGCATCTACGACACGATTTGTTGGCTTTTTGACATCTACGTGCTGCTCATTACCTAATTTGGATGCCGACTGTAGTAGAGTGTTTGTCGGTGCGGTTTGTTGTTGGTCTGAATTGGCAACTTTTTGGACAATTTTCTCTTGCACTGCCGCGCCATTTCTAGCGCCAAACTCTAATGCAACATTGTAGTCGCGTTCGGGCGTTGGTGGCGCGCTAGTTTTCTGCTCTGGTGGTGGATTTGGCGCTCTGCCCTTCTTCAATTTGGCATCATCTTTCAGCGCCTCCGACGTTGCTGCGGCCATGCTCAAGTTCAGGTTCTCATTGGATTTCGACATTACCAAGTGCAGTTGATTGATGACTTGCTGTTCGGCATTGGTCGGTGTGCGTTTACTGGCAAATGACTTTAGTGGCGTGCTAGTTGGCGAGACTACCGGTTTCGCAGGCAGATCGGGTTTCTTCAGCAGAATGGGTGGATGCTGCTTCTGTAGGCCATGCAGGAAGGAGGGTCGGGCGTCGATGATTTTCGTGGGTGGCGGCGATTTTGGTAGAGCAGGTAGCTGCTGATGTTGTTGTTGCTGCTGCTGTTGTGTGGCTTTAGACTCCTTATTGTTCTCCAGGCTGCCATCTGGATCTGCGCTGCCATCTGGCTCGCCATGCAGCTCTCTACTCTTTTCCAATATGTACGCAGGCTTCTTGTGTGCAGCCGTTGGCGTTGTTGTTTGCGCTGCTGGTGTGCCCTTCGTCGTGGTTTTAGCTGACGTGTTACTGTTTGCTTGATTGGCCACTTGTATGTCCTCGTAATCTGAGTTGTTTGTGCTCACACTCAATTTCTTTTCGACACGCACACGTTCCTTTTCTACGCCACCGCAATTCTTATACTCATTGCCGATGCTAATGCCTATGCCAGAGTCCGATTCGCTGCGTATCATATTGTACGAGGTCTCCTCATCGCTGCTGCCATCGAAACTGCTGCCCGTCGAGTCGAGCGCGTCATCCGAACTGCACTTGGTCACAATCAGACCATCAGATGTTATTTTGCTGGTCATAAAATTGCCTTCGTGCAGATTGTATGAGGCGGCGCGTGTCTTCGAGGACAACAGCATGTCGGTGATGTATTGTGAGCTCGAAAAAATGGAAGAGTTGTCGTTGTTTTTGCTGTTCGTTGTGTTATTACTTGCCATTGTTGCGGCAGTGGTTACTGCACTTGGCAGCTTCTTATCTTCCGCATCGCATTTGCCGTCTGGTAGATTCTCGTAGCTTATTTGTGTTTCGACCACATCATAGTATGCCGAGATGCCGTTCTCGTTGTCCGAGCAGTTGCTGTCGCTGTCCGAGTATTTATGGAAGACATTTATTTTGGGTTTGGCATGATCCTTTGTAATAGGTGGATTGCGTGCGATCGGCTTCTTAAGCTCAGGAAATGGCTTATTCTCCAAAGCATCGCTGAGACTGCTAATCTCGAATTTAAGCTTTGATGGCGCATTTGTGGCATTAGGAGAGGCTGTGACTATGGCTGTGCCATTCGTGTTGCTGCCGTTGGTTGAGACGACGATGGCTGCGGTGCTTGTGGTTGAGGAGGACACCTCCTTTTCGCTGGCCAATTTTTTGCATTCGCTCTGCTTCTTCTCCAACGTTTCGGAGATTTCGTCCAGCAACGATTTCTCCATGGCGCGTTCGATGGGCGGACTATTTTTGCCATCACTATCGCATGCGGCCAGTGCTTCTTGCTTGCTCTGTGCGGCGCTCAACAAACTACTGGCACTGGACATCATGTAAGACGTTGCGGTTTTCGTTGTTGTTGTTGCTGTTGCTGTTGCTGTTGTCGAGTCAGCAACTGCAGCTGTTGTAGTGATCTTCGTTGCATATGGTATTGTAGCCGTTGTGGCGGCCGTCGTTGGCTTCTTCAATGACTTAACAACAGTCGCACATTGCTTGATCAGCGTCGGCTGTTCGGCCGGTTCATTCACTTTTGTCTCGAATTTGGCCTTCACTGTTGTGGCGGTAATCGTTGATGTTGCCACTTTGCTGCTGTCCCCAGTTGCCGTGGCACCAAATGGCATAACATTTATTTTCAATGTTTGCTTCTTACCTTCTTTATCGACTTGTGGCGCGCCAAGTTTCAATGCGGCAAATGAACGCTTAATATTCTCCTGTGGATCACCCAACAAATTGCCATTGTTCATATTGAAATCGGTGTTGGCGCGTGTGATGCGCTTCAGCTCGAGTGTCTCCTCGTCGTCGGTGCTGCTGGCCGCATTGTCGTCGCGTTCGTTGCCAATATTCATGAAATCATGATCATCGTCGTCATCGGAATCATTGTCCGACCATTCGCCGCCAACGCCAATCACCTCGGAGATGTTCTTCGGAAAGGTGACTTTATGCGCTTTGCCCTTGGTGGCTTTCGATTTGAGTGAAGCGAACGATTTCTTCATAATGCTCTTTGCGGGCGATTTATATTTGTTGGGGTAATCAGTCTTTTTGCTATCCAAATCGGTTTTGGATAATAAATTCGATGTGAATTTCGATCTATCTATGGCGCTGGCGTATTTGGACGAGTACATGTTATTGCCGGGCTTATGTTCGTCTTTCGATTTGAAGCAGTTCGAGCAGAGATCCTTCTTCCACGCATTTTGCGTGAAGTGTGGACATATCGATGAGGACATATTGTTGGAGGCGAGTTCAAAAGTGTTTATTTGTTGGTGGACGTTGGCACGTTATGCGAGAACAGGACGAGGCGGCGGTGTTTAGGATCGTGAAGAATCTGTGGCCATAGTCTGAAATGAAGAAGGAAAATAATAATTAGTCTCTTATGGTTATGCATGTTAAGAGAAGTTCTTGGAATATACCACAAGATTATCCATATTTTTATAAAAAAAAATACCTGAATCGGCTGTCGACCAGCATAAGCGTTTTAAATACATAACAAACCCAGAAAGTGACTCACGTCTATAATACCTTTGAAAATAGATATCCCTAGCACTGGTGCAAAAGAACGTATGATGTCTTTAGTACGGGGTTTGAAGTCGTTACCAGCAAAAACCTACGAACTCGCATTGTGAGGTAAACATAAGATCGGAAATGAAGCACCACTGAGGTGGTTCCGAAGCAAAAATCACATAAGGTTGTGGAAATAAAAAATGTATATCAGCTTTGGAGCCACCAAACCACCTACTAGCAGGGACGTTCTTGCGCCAACTTCATCCGCCAGAACTTGAGGCCCACACAAGTGAGAGTCGCGTAATAAGAAAGACTTTCGGAAGCAGATATATATGATTCTTTTTACGAAAAAAATCTATTCAAAATTTTTATGGAATTCGCGAAAAGAAGAATTTAATAAAGTGCAACAAAGTGTATGAGATTTAAAAAGGGATTTCAACGAAAGAAGCTTTAATGGACAAAAAACGGCGAATAAAAAATGCTCTGTAGTTTTCAAAAAAAGTTAATGAGGAAGTTAAGGGAGTGGATATAGGGTTTACCCATTTGCAGTGAAGAGACTTACCCCGGAACAACGCTTGCAAATTGTGCAAATTTATTACAAAAATAATGGTTCGTTGCGGGTTTCACATCAAGCTTTGCGTCCCCTATTCGGTCGATATTCTCGCCCAGCAGAATTGATACAAAGAGCAAGCTCTTGGGCCGGTTTTACACCACATTTAATCTAGTGGCTAATGCGTATCCTCAGAGACGTTGTACATTGTTGAAGAAAAGTATCGAAGAAAGCTCAAATCAGTCCATCCGCCCTCGCACGCTACAATTGGAGCTGTACCCATTCGCTCTATGGAAGATTCGTGTTCTATGGGTCGAGGGCATTAGTATATATTTTTTCAAAAATGAAGCCGGCAAAAATTTTATAAAATAACTTTTTCATGCCTGAATTTGAGTACGTTGATGACATTTACTTCCAACAAGACGGCATTGCATGTCATATGACCACAGAAATCAATTAATGAATGAAAGGAAGTGTGATTTAATCCCGCTGGACTACTCTTTGTAGTGTTATTTGAAGGCGCTTGAGATCAGCCCGAGACTATTGCCGCCTTGGAAGAAAATATTCAGCGGAGTATTGCTGACTTAGCTAATTAATTGGTAGCTGGAAAATTGAGCTTCACGACTGTAATTAACTCAAGCTAGCTATGGCCAATAATCGAAATAAATTTAGGGAGATAACAGCAAAACCTTATCTTTATGATAAAGCTAAACTCGTGGTCATAACATTAAATTAAAGCTTGTAAACCACCTACAACACACACCCTCTTAGCTCAACAAAGCTTAAAAGAAACCCTGTCTGAGAAATTTAGGTAGTGACGACTTGGAAATTTTGACTTGGTTATTGAGATCTCATGCAAGATTTATTGATCTTAACCACCCCACCAACTTCGAAAAGAAGATATTAAAGTATTTTATGCCTAAGTATATATTGTCGCTGGAATAAAGTTTTGCACAATGCCGACTCAATAGAATCCTGGAAGAGGTGGAATAAATCTCTGTCACGTAAGAGCTTAAGGGAATAACCATTGGCTCGTGCTGTGGGCATCCCGAATTCGAATACAATTCGTACAAAGGTCTCTGGAAAAAGAAGTCTGATGAGGACTTCCAAAATATCAGCTATAACTTCTACCGTTCAAAACTGTTGTTGTATTTTTTTCACTATTTCCAAAAATGTACAGGGTGCTCCCTCTTTTATGTCGGTATGTAAACGCTGAATAACTTTCACATTTACGAACCGGGCGATTCCACAAAAACCCAAAAACACTTCAACAGAATAATGAGTAAAAGTAAGTAAAAGTTAAACTTAAGCTAAGTTTACAAAATATGTTACAGGCTGAAGATGTCAAAAGATTTCTAAAGCCAATCTAACGGTTCACTCACAAATGGATAATCAATAATTAAAACGAAAACGAAGTTATGAATATGAATAATCAAAGTTTCCGACAATGTTTCTTGTTAAAAGCACAAGTAAGCGAATATTGCTGGAAACCAGTAGAAATCATATTAAAAAGTAATAACACATTTGTTAACTATAGAAACTAATTTTTGCCTTTGTAAATTTGTCAAGCCAAAACGCTTTGTTCCACATGCAAAGTTGTCATTAAAGGCTTTTATAAAGTGTGGCGAATGCTATGGAGTATAGAAAAGAAAAACAATACAACATTTTTTAATTAGTATTTCTGCATTCTCTTAAAACAACGCGCTGAATTTGGAACTCTTTTAAAAACCATACTTTCGATGAAGTGAAAGTTCAACACTGAATTTAGAACACAATGAAAGTAAGTTGCGGAGAAATCTATTATTTTGGTGTGTCACGAAATTTAGTTAATTTTTATTAGGACCTGCTCATCAACATCTGGTCTTCAAACTTGTATGTTGAAAGTTTAAAAAGAGCTTTCAAGACAATTCCCCGAATAGCCAATTCTCTTGAGTAAAATTTTTGTACTTCAAAAGCCTGCGGTTAAAAGAATGGTAGTGTTCTGAATTCTACGGAAAATCCTTTAATTTCTGATAATAAAAATAAGACCAATACAATTTGCGGAGTTTAGGCTCCTCCTCCACCGTACTGTCTTAACTAACTATAGTTAACTAAAGAACTAAAGTGCTTGACAGGCTTTATTCGTGAATAATTCATTGACAGGCACGTCTTTCTGCCGATGAATGCTGCTATTAGGGAACTACTGAAACACTCCTTCATAGGATGTTTTATATGAGACAGACCCCTGGATAGCCCACTTATCTCAACGTGGAATGAGCTAGCAGCGATTGCACAATATGGTAGCTACCGAGAGCTCTGTTCCACCGCAAGACCAAAACTTTCTCTCCCAATAAGGTAATTTTGAAAGGGTAGTTGTGTGAGAGAAGAGATGGAATCATCTATGCACTTTTTTTTACTAATTAGTCTACATTTACAAGACTGCGCCCTTGAGGTGTTTCCAAACATTTGCAGATTTCCGAAAAGCACTCGAAAAATCTATAAAAGACTGGGCTAGCGTTTTACCTAATCCTGTAATAAACTGTTGATTTTTGTGTCTGAAGACGGTTAGGTTTGGTCTGAAGAAAATTAGCTCTTGTTAGAGCTCTCCACCTGACGCCCCCCGAAAAGAACTCAATATTATTTCCTAACCCTACCTTAACCTAACCTAACATAGCGTTCGCTTAGTGTGATAAACTGTTGATTTTTGTGTCTGAACACGGTCCCCGTAAAGAACTCAGTATTATTATTTCTTTACGGAGAGCTTATTTGATATTATGGTTGCCTTAGAAGCATCTTCTGTGCAGTTTTGCACATCTTTGATTACTAGATTCCAAAAAACTGTCTCACGTTGCTCTCTGCGTTCCACATACATACTCGTACACATTTTGCGGAGTTCAATAACTTTTGTGGGTAAAAATCTAGTAAATTCTCAATGAACTCGTTCAAAAGCTGTTTAGTTTGAAATTTCAAAATTTATGCGCAAGACACTACGTCTAATCCGGAAATATGATGGTTAAACACGAAATTGGCTAACTAAGATTTCTTCACCGCCAAATTTGGCTAACGATCAAGCAGCAGCTAATGGCGGTGAAACGAATTCACCCACGTCCGTGAGTATATGGTTGGCCATAAATAGAAAGATTTGCGTGTGCAAAAGTAGATACATTCATACGCACATACATAAGCTCCATGGAAGGTAGTTTAAGAGATAGACTTTTGAAAAAAAAGCAAGCAAAAGCAAAAAATAAAATAAAAATAAAAAAACTATACAAAACCAGAACAGTTAACAATGCCATATAAATTCATTAATCATGAAACTTGCCAGCTGAATCTGGAGTGCGCAGCCCAAATAAAAGAAGAAGAGAAATAGCAAAGACAAGTTAGATCCGATACCAACTCAAAAAAATAGAAAAATAACATATTTTTTTTTTAATTTAAATTAAATAGGTAAACAATTGTTTGAACAATTTTACATGCACAAAATGTGAAAGAAGTGTAAAGTGAGGAAAAGAAGAAAAAAATCGGAGAGCAAGAGAGAAAGGTAGGTGTGAAAAAATGTTAATGAGACTGAATAACGCCAACCTCCGGGCCGGAAAAGGCGGCTGAGCGGGCGGAAAGTTAGCGCATTCACACCTCAATGATTTGGAAAGTTAAAAGTTTGTGTTGAACAACGAAGCGTTGTGCTGGAAAATATGCAGAAATGGAAAAGTTGGCGGCTAATATCATTTCTTCAACTTGCACTTGTAATGCAGGCAAACACAGCATTTAAACCAACAACAGCAATAGCAATAATCAATATGCGCTTGATTATCAGCTAAATACATATACATATATATAAAGTGGATGGTAGAGGAAAGAAAATTAAAAATTTATAAGCAAAAAAAATAAAGAATTAATAAATGAAAACGAGAAAGAAAAGGAAAAGCTTTCTATGGACATGTCTTATGCCTTTTATTGCCATATCAAATTTCTGTTTTTAATTTTGAGATTAAATAAGAATTCTCATATCTGAACAAATCGGTTGTATGGGTGCTAAACGTTACAGTCATTCGACTTTGACGGATGGCCAGAGTATACTGAATTTATGGAGGAACACTTCTCCAGTCTACTGAATGGTAGTGAAAACAAAACATCCGAAGAAGTGGAACCCGAAACTCCAAATGATTACGATGGAAAAGACGCTCCATTACCTGACCATGAAGAAGTTCGAATAGTAATCGCCCGCTTAAAAAACAACAAAGCGCGCGAGCTGAGGGTCTACCGGCAGAACTACTCAATCATGGCCGTGAAGAACTGATCAAATGCATG